GCAGCAGCAGCAGCAGCGTGGGAGATGCTGCGGGCTGCGCGTCCTTGGAGGCCCGTGCTGTGTGCTCAGCTCGGCAGGGAGCCGGCAGAAGCCCTCCCGCGGGGCTGGGGACTCGCAGGGTCGCGATGATGGTTCACCTGCTCTGCCTTTTCCGTTTGCTAGCGTGGCCCGTCGGACAGGAGCCGGTGGCCACCCAGGATGCCCGTGGCCAGCCGCTGGCCTGGACCTGTAGGCGTTGTGGAGGATTTCAGAGGTAGCACTGAAAGCAGTAATTCCTCACTCTTTCCCCCCCCCTCGGCAGCTCGGACTCCACTGATAATTTTGAGACCCCTGAAGCAGAAACACCAACCTGCTCGCCAGTCAAGGAGTTCTGCAAGCCACCAGGATCACCAGGGAGCCAAGGTAAAGAGCCAGCGTGCGCCTTCTGGCCCATTGGCGCAAAGCAGGGTGGGGTCAAGGAGTAGAATTTGCTGGCTTTGGGTAATGCCTGTCTGTGTTTTGATGGTCAATGGCCTGGACAGTTCAGCTGGGCACTCCACAGAGCTGTGATGGGTGGATTGAGAGRAACCCAATTGAATTATTTTATCAGTTAAACATCCCTCTGACACTTTCCCTGGGTGCTCACAGCAGCGCCTGGAACTCTCTGCAGGGCTGGTTTTGAGCACAGGGGCTCAGCCAGACCGTGGCTCCCGCACAGCAGGGCCATGGCAGTGAAAGGATGGCACAGCTCTCCCTCTCCTGGGGTGTTGTTCTGCTTTTGGGGTGGCTCTGGGTGCTTTTCCACCCCTGTGGAAAACATGGGTTTGTTTGCTGTGGTTTGTTCGGTTCACATTTCCGTTAATCACAGCTCTTGGAATAATCCTTTTAAGAAGGGATGATAGAGATGTCTTTACTTTGGGATAATGTCTGRGGAGGGGGAGAGCGAGATCAAGGCTTTCCTGGCGGGGAAAGGATCATTTCCACCCGAGCTTAGGGAGGTGCATTGTCACCAGGGTGTCACTGTTCCTGGTGTGCCTGTGCCCCTTGGCCTGGGATGAGCAGCTCCTGCTCAGCAGCTCCTGCACACAAAGCTCCCAGTGTTCCGGAGATGAGGGCATGATCTCTGTAAAAGCTGTTTTTCTGTGCTGGCTGGCWGAGAGTGGGATGTTGGAGGCAGCAGAGCCAAACCGCGGTGCCCTGAGCTCAGCCCTTCCCTGCCCTCATCCCGGGCTGTGTCTGTTCGGTTTGTCTGGAATGGTGGGGGACRGGATTTTGGGGTGTGGGTGTGTTTGCAGAGGCGCCCTGGGGTGTTCCAGCACTGTGCCAATACCATCCATGTGTAAAGGCCCCATCTCGGTGCCCTTCCCTGGCTCAGGAGCAGCAGTGGAGTGAATCCGGGATGGAGGAAATCCTGTGAAACGGCTGCTGTCAGAGCTGCAGTCCCTGGGGATGGCTGCTGGCCCTGCTGGGTGTGTGGGGACAGTGCCAGAGCTGGACCTGAGGGCACCCCCGGCCCCGGGGCAGTGCCAGAGCTGGACCTGAGGGCATTCCCGATCCCGGGGCAGTGCCAGAGCTGGACCTGAGAGCACCCCCGGCCCTGGGGCAGTGCCAGAGCTGTACCTGAGAGCACCCCCGAACCCCGGGGCAGTGCCAGAGCTGGACCTGAGGGCATCCCCGGACCCGGGGCAGTGCCAGAGCTGGACCTGAGAGCACCCCCGGACCCGGGGCAGTGCCAGAGCTGGACCTGAGGGCATCCCCGGACCCGGGGCAGTGCCAGAGCTGGACCTGAGGGCATCCCCGGACCCGGGGCAGTGCCAGAGCTGGACCTGAGAGCACCCCCGGCCAGGGGACAGTGCCAGAGCTGGACCTGAGGGCATCCCCGGGTAAGGGGCAGTGCCAGAGCTGGACCTGAGGGCACCCCCGGGTAAGGGACAGTGCCAGAGCTGGACCCGAGAGCACCCCCAGCCCCGGGACAGCCAGGACAGGCACTCTCTGCTGTACAGCTGCAGTCTCACCCTGCCTTGGGAATAAATAGGGTGAGGAATGTGTGAGACAGGAGCTGTGACTCCAGGGCTGGCTGCTTCTCGCATTGCCAAGAGGTGACCCGGGTGTGTTAAACCCCGGGTGTGTTAAAGCCCAGGTTTTGTCCTTGGGGATGAAAATTCAGCCCTGAGGGGGCTGCAGWGGGGGTTTATGCCCGCTCAGGATCACTCTGCTTCCTCTCGCTGTCTCGGATGGTGGGGCTGTGATTCTGTCCCGTTTTTCGTGTTATCTGCACTCATCTGCCGGGAGATATTTTGCACARGGAAATGAGCAGATAGAACAAATCCGGAGCCGTCGGTGCTCAGAGCGGGCTCTCACTGCCGTTACCCTGATGATGGCACGTGTTTTCCGGTGTGCTGGCAACATCCCTGCCGGTATGCTAATTCTTAACAGAATAGATTTAAAAATAGATCAGCGGCTGTTCAGCACAAGCGGAAGGCCAAAAGAGGAAAAAAAGTCGTTGGCGATGTGGGACTGAGATGGATGTGCAGGGCAGAGGAGAGAGTGAGAGGAGAGAGTGAGAGGAGAGTGTGACGGACAGTGAGCGCTGCCCTGAGCCGAGCCCGGGGAATGGAGGGGCTTTGGAGGGGCTTTGGAGGGGCTTTGGAGGGGCTCAGATCTGTTCAGGGGATCTGGAGGGGCTCTGGAGGGGCTTAGGAGGGGCTTTGGAAGGCTCCGGAGGGGCTCGGATCTGTTCAGGGGCTCTGGATGGGCGAAGATCTGTGCAGGATCTGTTCAGGATCTGTTCAGGGGCTGTTCAGGATCTGTTCAGGGGCTGTTCAGGATCTGTTCAGGGGCTGTTCAGGGGCTCTGGAGGGCTCCGGAGGAGCTTAGGAGGGGCTCAGGAGGGCTCTGGAGGGGCTCGGATCTGTTCAGGGTCTGTTCAGGAGCTGTTCAGGGGCTCTGGAGGGGCTCTGGATGGGCTCTGGAGGGGCTCGGATCTGTGCAGGGGCTGTGCAGGGGCTCTGGAGGGGCTCGGATCTTTCCAGGGGCTGTGCAGGGGCTGTTCATGTTCTGTTCCTGCCCATCCTTGGCACAGGGGCCGTGCAGGGATCGCTGCTGCTGCTCTTGGCAGGTCCCTGTGGGATGGAAAGGGCTCTGAGCCTTTGCCTCACTGAGCTTTGCTGCCGCTGCCAAGCGTTCCTGATTCATTGGGGGCTGGCACGTTGGAAGGCTGTTTAAGTTGGTGTTTTTGTTTAATTTCAGCCCGAGGAAGACAAGCGAAGCAATTACAATGCACAGGCACGGAGTGTCTGTTACTGCGGTGCCAGATTGTCTTGTCTGTTTTTCTTTAGAAAGTAAAAAATCTCTGTTTTCTCTTTGTGGCTCCCCTCCAGGTGCTCCCCGGGTGTGGAGCAGGTTTGTGGGGTGTTTGGGATGCTCCTGACAGTGTCCCATTTTCATGCTGGGACATTTCCCATCCCCCTGCAGGGCTCAGTGCCAGAGTGGAACGGGACATTTCGGGGTTCCCTTTCTGGGGAAAGACTGGCTGAAGGGCTGGGCTGTGYGAGGGGTGGAGCAGCTGAGCTCTCTCCAGTGCAGAAAATGAGGGAATCACAAAAYTGAAAAACCCGGGTGGGTGGTTCTTCAGATTTTTGTGGCAGAAGGGTTCTGAGCRATGGCCTCACGCAGCTTTGCCCCTTCCCTCCCCACCCTGCAGACACCACAGCACCGAGAGGTGTTTGTGTGCTGCTSGTTATTCAAGGAGTAATTACTCATTGCTTSGGTTAGAAACAGGATGGGCTCATGTCTGTGAGAACAAACCTTCCGCTGGGAACACAAAATGCACTTAAAGAGTCCTTCTGCCCTGACTTTGAAGTCTGYTCTTCCATTCAGGGCTGTCTCAGGAAGGCTTCAAACAGCTGAGCAACACAGCAAGTGTCATAAAAGTTTTCTTTGGGGTCTGTTCAGGAGGTTTTCCTGGTTCCTAATSATGGGAAGGGCTGGCAGGCGCTGCCTCAGACTGTTTCCTGGCTGCACTCCAAGTACTCATCCACTGGATTTGTGTTTACTGGTGCATTTTCTGGGGCATCGAGGCAACGTCTGCTTGGAGGGAGCTTTTTTTTTGCAGTCAGAGGAAGCATTTTTGCAGTCTCAGGGAGGACACAGACCCTCATGATTCATTTCCATGGCTTTTAGCATCCTGGGGATCAATTATGCAAACCACGAGCCATCAACTGAGTCAGGATTGTTGGCTCCACGTCCTGGATTAGTCCTGGGAGCAGATCTTTGCCTGATTCACTTTCCTTCTGCCAGCCTGTGGCTCGCTGTTACCAGCAAACACGAGCCAGTTGCAAATGGTTGGTTACAGGAAAAGCCTTTGGTGGCTGTTCGGGGATGGGGGTGTGCACCCCAACATCCTGTCCTGCTTCACCCCTCGAGTCTGTGCAATCCTCCCTGCTTGAGGAGCAGGACAAACACCAGATGTTCTCCTCTTGTGCCTTGGCACATCTGCACCGCAGTCCTGGCTCTGGTGGGTGCAGCTTTTGGGATGCCTCAGTAGAAAAAGGATCTTATCCATCCCTTGATAGCAAAAAAAAATTAAAAAAAAGATTAAACAGTGAAAGGATTGAGGGGAGAGGATTGGAGTAATGGTGATTAAGTGATGGATCAGGATTTGTCATCAGAAGATGCTGACAGCAGTGTGACTCCRGGAGGATTTGTGCAGGTGGAGACCCAGCCTGTGCCAGGCTCCTCCTGCCTGTGCCCACCCAGCACGGGGCAAATGCCCCCAGACCCTCCTGCAGCTGCTTCTGCCCCTTCCCTGAGCACAGCTCTCCATTCCCCTGCTCCCTCGGGCCTGTTCATTCACATTTTGGGCTGTTGTCTCATGCCATGAACTCTTCTCATTAATTTTTAACTGCCCAGATGAGCAGTGACTCCCTGGCACCCGCAGGAGCTCAGTTTTGAGTCAGTGGATCCCCCATAAAGTGTGATCCTGGAGCAGCTGAGGAGGGACAGAAACCCCTCAGGAAGGGAGTGCAGGGTTTAACCATCTCCTGGTCAGGGTTTAACCATCTCCTGGTCAGGGTTTAACCATCTCCTGGTCAGGGTTTAACCATCTCCTTTTGTCTTTGCAGAGCCAGGTGGACACGGGGACCTGCTGCTAGGGGGATCCCACGGGGACAGCTCGCCCGGGAAACACCCCAAAGATGAGGCTCCAGCAGAGATCGGAGCCCCCAAAGGCACTCTGGATGCTAAAGGGGAAAGTGCCCCTGACAATTCGCCCCTGATGCAGCCCCTGGCAGGGCTGGGCTGCAGGGCTGACCCTGGGCAYGCCACTGTGCCCACTGCAGGGTCAGAGCCCGAGCCCCACGTGGGCACAGCCAGCGGGGAGCTGCCCGTGCCAGGAGGGGACACGGCACACGCTGGCACGGGGCTGGCACAGCTCGGGGCTGAGAGCCTGGCCCAGGAGCAGCTTGGCAAAGGGAAAACGCCCTCRCTGGGGAGGAAGACAGAGGAAAGCACAGAGGAGAGCCGAGAATCCTCTCAGCTGGAGCCTGAGCAGCACGAGAGCAGCGTGAGCCCCTTTGGGGCCGGGCACTGCCCCCTCCAGAGCTCTGCCCCACAACGCCTTCCCCATCCCAGTGAGCCCGGGGGGGACCCGGAGGCCACGGGGAACCTCTCAAAACCTGAGGCTGAATTTAGGGAGGTGAAAGAGAACGTGGAGGCCAAGCCAGCTTCACCCAGGAGGGGCAGCAGGATCCCAGCCAGCAAGCTGACACCAAAGAGACACCGAGAGTCCCCCAGGAAGGCGGCTGAGGATGTGCAGAGGGGTCCTGTGGAGCCACCACCGCCCCGGGGCTCTCCCGAGTGCTGGGACAGCTCCAATCTCAGCTCTCTCAGYGGCAGCTCAGCGCTGCACCATTTGCCAGCTCTCCCCAAGGGCTCTTACCAGTTTGACCCCAATAACTTTGACTCCGTGGATCCCTTCAWGCCCACCAAGACGCTCGCCAGCAGCGACGCCGACTCTTGCTCCACKGCAGACAACAGCCTGAATGAAATCCTTGAATCCCAGACTCTGGAGATGCAGGAGGAGGCACTGAAAGGCAGAGACTCCCCCAAGAAGCCCAAGTCACGGCTGATAACGTGAGTGGCACTGTGTGCAGAGCAGGGGCTGCAGATTGCAGGGGCTGCAGATTGCAGGGGCTGCAGATTGCAGGGGCTGCAGATTGCAGGGGCTGCAGATGGCTCTGCTGTCACTGCGGGCAGAGCTGCGGTGGTGATGGTGATGGTGATGATGATGATGGAGGTGTTGGAGGTGATGATGGTGATTATATTGGTGATTATGATGGTGATTATGTTGGTGATAATGGTGATGATGATGGAGGTGATGATGATGGAGGTGATGGAGGTGATGGAGGTGGTGATGGTGATTATGTTGGTGATTATGATGGTGATTATATTGGTGATTATGATGGTGATTATGATGGTGATAATGGTGATGATGATGATGATGGTGCTGATGGTGCTCCTGCCCCGGTGCCTCCTGAGTGAACCCCAAATCCCACAGCCCCTCAGGTTGTGCTGCTGCCTCAGTTTCCTCTGCTGTTGTTCAGCACAGTCCAGCTCCCCTCTGGCTGTCAGCAGCACCCATGGCAGCAGAGAGCCTGGTCCTGGGGCAGTGACAGTGTCCTGAGTCCCTGCAGGGCAGGGAGGGCTGCACGGGGACCCTTTTACAGGATCAGCTCTTTGGGTTGAGGTGCAGATGTGGGCTCAGGGGAACTGGAGCCGATGTTTGCTGGGCTCGGGCAGGGATGGATGGATGGATGGATGGATGCAGGAGCTGATGGTGCAGGTGTGGCTGCTCAGATGGAGCTGAGTCATTGTGTGAGCTGCCACTGAATTCCTGTTTGATAGCACAGAACAGGTTGGACAGGTCGATTCTCACTCTGCTGTCGGATTCTCCAGTGAGAAAATTAGACAGTGGGTTTTTATAAAACCTCAGAGGCAAAAATCAGTTCTGTGTTGGGTGTTTTTTCCAGGAAATGCTTTCCAGAGAGCAGAGCTGGTGTTGCCATGTGGCTGTGGGTGAGCAGAGCCCGTGGGGAGGGGAAGCAGAAGGGAATTCTCTGTTCACTCTCTGTCACTGGAGCAGCACAGGCTGCAGATGTTCCCTGGCAGTGGGGTTTGTGTTCAGATCCCACTCTGCTGCTGTGGATGGAGCTGCAGGATCAGAGCATCCCCCGTGTGTGTGTGTGTGTGTGTGTTCCCAAAAACTGAGCTGGCAGCTCGCTGTGCTGCTCCAGAGCAGAGTTACATCCAGGGCTTTTCACACGCTCTTCTTCTCTCATCTGTCTGTCTGTCTGTCTCTCTCCCTGTCCGTGCTTTGATGCATCAGGACTACTGAACAAGTGAAATTTCTCTGTTTTCTGTTGTAAGTACTCTCTCCTGTATTCTTTTCTCTTCCTTTGCTGTTTCTGTCCTCTCTCTGGGTGTGTGCTGCCCCTCTCCATGGCATGCTGCCTCCTTCTGCCCTTTGGTTGTGCTCTCTGCTGTTGGTTTGTG